GCGCGCTCCCGTGCCGGCCGCGACCCAGGCGGATGTGGCACCCGGCCCGGTGAAGGCCCGGGGCTGCGGAGACCCAGGTGGCTCCCCCTACTTCCAGGTTTAGGGCATGCTGCATTCCCTCCCCGCTAAGCCAGGAGCTCTCAGTTCTCTTTTCTGAAAATGACAAGAGCTTTGGAAAGAGGAAGAGGAGAGACCAGGACTGCAGGACGTGGAAGGGTAGTGGAGCTGGGGTAACGGGCGCCCGGCCCGCTGAGCGTGCCCGGAGTGACCAGGATCCCTGGTCAGAGCGCTGCCACCCCAGCCAGAGGGGACCCCTTCCGGCACCGTCGCATCCGCACTCCAGCACCTGCCAGTGATGAGCGGAGAGGGGAGGGCCAGTGCAGACCTAGCGAAGGGATGGGAATGAGACCTGGAAGCCTGGGATCACAGGCTGGCCAGGCACGACTCGCCTGACTTCTCGGTCCTATAGTCTTAAAAGGCCATAAAGAAGGGGGAGCAAGCCCAGCCCCAACTGGTGTCAGCAGTTGTTAAGTCCTCTCCCCTTGGGAGCCTCACCACGAGGCCAGCCACCTCTGAGGAGAACTGGGGTCACTCCACCGGAGTCCAGACCTGAGTCCAGCCAGCAGCTGCCTCCCCATCAACTCCCTGCCAGGCCACCGGGTGAGGAAGGGCCATAGCTCGTCTGGCCAGTCAGAGCCCTGTCCCCATGCTGCAGCAGGTCCTTGAATGCATGGGAGGGCACCTGAAGGCACACGTGCTGCCACGGGAGCCTCTACCTAGCCTGGACCCCCATGTCCAATGCTGGGAACAAATTCTGAGCCGGGGCCGGGGGAGGGGGTCAGGGAGGGCGCTCCACAACCCACAATAGAGCTGAGAGGATGCAAACGGTGAAAGGTGAAAAGGTTTGTGCCAAGGACCCCCTAGTCCCCAGCTGCACCCCAAACAGTAGCCAACCACACAAAGGTTTGATATTTTTTTATTAACATATAATATATTTAATAAAAAATAATATCCACTCTGGCTCTCTCCTCCACTGCAAAGGGAAGAGTGGTGAGGAGGGGCTGGCACTGCCCACCCCTAGGCATCTGGACTAGCCCCGCCTCCGGGGCTCCCCTCTACCCGCCCTTTCTCCAACAGGCTCTGACCTCCAGACAGACCGTTCAAAGTTACAAGTGCTTTAGACCCTCCCTTGAGCTCCCCCAGGCCCACCCCTTGTGCAGAATTCAGGAGCCACCTGGACAAACCCCTCGCTTTTTATCATTCTCAGGACCCCGCATTCACGTTAGAAAGGATCCGGGGGCAGAGAGTGGAGTCTCTACTGGCCAGGGGGAAGGGAGAGGAGGGACAGTGATGGGGAACAGGGCCAAGATGAGGGGAGGCGACACGCGTCCTCACTGTAGCCGGTCACTGCGGAATGAGTCCTCCACAGCAGGGTCCGGCAGCAGGGCACAGGGGTCGCTCAGCATGCTGAGCCCCTCCAGGCCCAGCGGCTCCATGCGCAGCTCGTCCTCCAGCCCCAGCCCGAGCTCCAACCCAGCCGCTGACACCTCGAAGCCAGGCACGGCGGCCAGGGCCGCTGCGATCTCCTTAGAGAAACCAGGGGAGGGGTCGCCTGTGGGCGGAAGAGCAAGGTGAGGACCCCGTGCCCTGTAAACCTGCCAGGCCCCCTCGATCTCCCATGGATGCAACACTCCCCACCTCCAGCCTGCGTCCCCGCCCACACCTCTCTCACCTGTGAGGATGACGTTAGGCCCTGAGCCAAGGCGGGAACAGTGGGTCAGGTTTTGGTGGTTGAGGGCATGGGGGTCCTGGAGGCCGCTCACTGGCCCCTCACCCCCCGAAAATCCAGACCCTTCTGAAAAGCCAGGGGGATCCAGCGCCAGGCTGGCTGACGGGCTCTGCATGCTGAACTGCTCCAGCTAAGGACACACAGACACACCTTGAGACAGTGGGCCTCAGAACAAGGGACCTGCCTGCCTTGGCGAACGCATCCCCCCCGTACCCCGCCTCAGAAACAAAACCAGAGACACGGGAAGGCGGCAGCATAGAGAGAGGCGAGCACGGCCCCAAAGTAGGTGTGGGCACCGCACCTGCTGAGACAGCGCACGCCAGGAAGAGAACGTGGCAAAGCGGCGGCCGTCTGGGTGCGAGCCGTGCGCAGACAGCCGCGGGGGGGGGAAGAGGAGCCCCAAGTCCGCAGCGTCCCCTGGAGGAGCGAGGGTCTCCCGCTCACTGCACCCGTGACGCCACTCAAGCCCCTCTGAGTGCTCCCAGCCCCTCCCCTGCTTCGGAGCTCGGGACCTGGTACTCACGTCCCCCAGGCCGAAGTCTCCCGCCGGCCGGTGATAAGACCGCTGCCCGTGCCCGCTGGAGCTGGGTGGGTAGAGCGGCCCGCCGTGCGGCTGCCTGCCTGGGGGCTGCCTGCCTGTGGACGGCACTGAGCAGGCCTGAGCGGGCAGCCCCGGCTGCTGCAGAGGCTTTGGGGTAGGTGGCTGGGTGGGCAGAACCAGACTTGGGGGGCTGTAGGGGTACGGAGGCAGCCGCTGGTCGGTGGGCAGTTTACTCGTGTCCAGGGGGACGCCCTACAGAGAAGCAAGGAAAAAGAGGCACGCTTACCTTTCAGCGTGGCCCCAAAAAGAACTCTTAGGACTTCCCACCCTGGGAAGCCGCGACCACCCTCAGCACAAACCTGACGCCCAACGCTCCCGCGGACACCCCGGGACCGGGCGCAGCTCCTCAGCACTGCTTATCAAAACGGAATGACTGGGCCAGGCTAACATGAGGACAAGTTTGAACCCGGTCCAGAAGTAACCCTTTCCTACACCTGCTGCTTTAACGACCATCACTAACCGAATACTTGTGACACACCTCACAAGTGCCTGACAGCACGACCATGAACTTGAGAACTGCTATTCGAAAGCCCTTTGAAAAGGCCAGAGGGAGTGAGAGAGGAGGAAGGAAGAAGGAGGGAGGAAGGGAGGGAGGGAGGTGAGGGTCACTCCAGGCTCTGAGAGCAGGGCCCGCACCGGCCTGGCCTCAATGTCTCCTACAGAAAAGGGGACCTGCATCAGATGGAACACGGAACACACATTCCAGGCATGAGCAATGAAGGAGGACGACAAGGCAGGGCAGGGCAGCGAGGGAGCAGGACAGAAGGACGGGGAGGGAGGGAGGAGCTAGGATCGCAGCAGCGAGAAGCCCTCAACTAGGAGCTTCGGGTTCGGGGCCCGCCTCTTTCCAACGTGCGCCGTGGACTCGGGAAAGTCACTTTCTCTCTGAGCCCCCGTCTCCTCATCTGCGACATGAAGGCTCTGGGCTCCATGACCTGAGAGACTCTGAGTCTACGACATCATGGAAAAAGGAAAGGCGACAGGCGAGGGCATAGGACAGGATGGAGGCCTGAGCAAAAAGACAGACGAGGAAAAGAAGGCAGGAGCCAAGAGGGAGGAGAGGGAAAGGACGAGCCGGCGCACACCGAGGCCGGCGCCGAGGGCTTCCCACGAGCTCTGCGGTCCTACCCTCGTTTAACGGATGGGGACGCCGAGGCGCACAGAAGCCAGACAACTGTCCCCTAGTGAGCTGCGGAGCCGGGGTTTGCGCGCTTAAGCCGAGAGAGGACGAGATGGATGAGAGACGGGCAGCCCGAGGACAGGAATGGAAGGGCGTGCGTGGGGCGAGGCGCGCGGGAGTTTGGGGAGAGGAGGGTGGGGGGAGGAGGACGGAGCAGGAAACGAGAGGGGGGAGGGAGACAGCATGTGGGGGAGGCAGCCACGCGTACCTGAGTGATGGAAGACAAGGTGGGTGACATTGTTGGCGAAAACTGTTTGGGCAGCTGCTGTTGGGACCTTCTGGCGTCGACTGGGCCCGCGGGCAAACTCAGGGGGCTGAGGGGCACGCGGCGGTGGCGGGGGGAGGCCCCGGGGGCAGAAGCTGGGTAAGGGGGGGCGCCCAGCCCAGGAGAGGAAGCGGAGGAGGAGGACAGGGCCGGGGCGCTGAGTGAGGGGTGACCCAGGGACGTGCTGGGCAGTGCGTGGCGGGCCAAGGAGGAGGCGGGCAGCGAGGGGTGACTGTGGGAGCCCTGCAGCTGCGGCTGCGGGCTGCTCAGGGAGGCCTGGAGGTTGGGATTGCTTAGGGAGGACTGCAAGGACGGGTGGCTGAGAGGTGAGTGGAGTCCTGCAGGCAAGGACAAAAAACCAGAGACGCCAACATTACTGATGGGGACGGGGCCCCGTTCTACCCGGAGTGGGCAGCGGGGACGGGACTACAGAAGTGGCAACGCGACGTCCTCCCTACTCTGGCCCTGGCAGTGAGGCTGGCTGTGCCCACTTGGCTGGGGGGCTGCTCTCCATTTGTGTTCTAGAAAAAGCCACACCTACCAATTTTCACTGGCAGGAAAGCGCAGCGAGGAAATCCCACGGTGGACAGTGACCGGCGGCGCGGGCAGCTGCTGGGTCACCCCAGGAGCTCAAGCCTCCCGCCCCCTGGTCCCTCCAGCCAGGCAGCACCCCGTGGACACAGAGCCAGGACAGCTACTCACCTGGCGCATCATAGCCCGGGCCGAGGCCCAGGCCCCCGCTGATGCCCAGGTGGGTCATGGTATGGGTCAGATTGGAGGTGCTGTTGCCCCCACTCAGACTGGGATAGGCCGTCTCCTCGGGGTCCAGGGGGGTGGGCAGCGGTGGGGGAAAGTGCAGGTTGGTGAGGTCAGGCAGGGAGCCTCCCGTGTTCATGGCAGGTGGGAGGACAGGCACGTTGGCGGGCTGGTCAGGGGACGGAAAGATGCTAGGGGAGGAGAGTAAAGGACAGGCATGAGGAGGGGGCAGCGGTCAGGGGAGGCGTGGGGCCCAGCCTCCCACGGTCCCCTCCCCCCCTCCCCTACCCCTCGGCCAGCCTCACACAGGTACGTACTTAATTCCAGGGACTTCACAGGACCGAGGTCGGGAGGAGGACGAGGACAGCTGAGGGGAGAAGGGACCACGTGGAGAATGAGGACAGGGCTGACGGAGGTCCCGGGAGACCTGCCCACGGAAGGGGAACGGACGGGGGGCCACGCCTACCTTCTTGGCATCCCAGGGCTTTAGCAGGTGCTTGTCAGCGAGCAGGTTCTCCTCAATAGCTGGGGCTTGAGGGAGACAGACTGAAGATGACAGGGCTGGAGAAGGGACCAGCGAGGCAGGACAGGAAGCAGAGGCAGGAGGGAGGGGCCCCGTGCCCAGCCCCGCACCCAGCCCCGCACGAAGCTACAGCGGCCCGGAAGTGCCCTGGCATCGGCACCCACAGATGGCGAGGAACGCCTACCTTTGGAGTCCATGTCACCATCCAGATAACCTGCAGGGGACACAGTGGGGTTGGCTGCAGCGCCCACACGCCTGCCTGCTTCACACCAAGGCTCCACGGCTCCTCCCTGCCCCGGGACAAGGCCCCTTACCTGCACGGCGGCCGGGCAGGATGCTGGGAGGTGCGGGGCCTGGGTACGTGTCCTGAGGGCTGGGGTTCATCACGCTCGTGTGAAGGGCAGAGTCAGAGCTTGTCCTGTGGGGGAAACAGAGCTGAGCTGACACCAGTCTTCCCGGTCCCCAGGCCCTCCTCGGCAGGGGAAACACTGGCTGGGCTGAGACAGGATGGGGGTGAGGGAGTGGGGCCCAGAAACATCGGGTGGGAGGAAATGTGGCCCCTGCACGGGCAAGGGCGTCACCTGTTAAGTGCGGACGGAAGTCGGAACAACTGCCCCTTCTCTGCAGGGAAATTGCCCCAAGGCATTGTCCTGGGATGAAAGACAAAGTCGTGAGGAGGAAGGCGGGATGGACGAGGCACGGGAGGGGGGGGGCTGGAAAACTCGGGGCAGCCGAGGGGGAGGGGGAAGGGGCTGGGCGCCCAGGGTCATGCCTCGTCCTTTCTGGTCTTCCTAACGTCTGTGACCGTGAACCCTCTCCTGCAGTCAACGTAGGGGACCTGGAAAATGTCAACTAGCATCTGCCAGGACGCGCTCAGTGAGAGGGGGTCTTGGAGCCCAGCCGCTCTCCTGGGTGTGAGCATCAGGGATGATGGGATGGCCGGGGGAAGGGTCCAGGAATCTGAGTACCGCATCCGGCACCCACTGCGCACAGGAGGCGGCCATTCGCCCTGCCCCGGCTAGCCACACTCACCACTGGCCCTGCCCCGGTCGGGCTGGGAGGCTTGGCCACCCGTGTCAACACAGCCAAGACTGGACTCTGACCCACCTGCTCCACCTGCCCGCAGCCCCGCCGGCCCTGCCCTTAGGGGAGGAGGTTCTGTGGAAAGCCCAGCCAGGCCAGCCCAACCCCAACCCAAGCTCCCTCCAGGGACAGATCCTGCCTGCCCGGGACACTGACCTCCGCCAGCTGGACTCCGGGGGAGGGGACAAGTAGGCAGGGCTGTAGGGAGAGCTGTCAATGTGCACGGCACCGGTTAAGGGAAAAGCGAGCCGAGGCCGACGGGCTGGGGACCAGGCGAGAGGGCGGCGAAGGCAGCGGGTGTGTCGCAGGGACGAACGCCTCGCTCTCCCCGACCAGCGCAGAGTCAGCTCAGAGAGCGGGAGAGAGAGTCAGGCCCGGCGGAGACGGAAGGACACAGGAGACTATCAGGGCCTGGGGGACGGGTCTGCGGAGGGCCGGGCCGAAAGCTGAGGACGGAACCAGACCCCAAAGCAGGAGGCACGTCAGGGGCCCCGCGCCCAGCACGAAGAGCCCGCTGAATGAGGCCCGTCGGAGCCAGCCGGGACGGAGGGCACACTCACGAGCGGCCGTCCTCGGCACAGGGGCCAGCGCTGATGCGGGCCAGATGCTCACCTTCTGGGGGAGGAGGGGAGTGGAGAGAAGCCCCTGGAGACAGATGGGGCTGGGGGACACTTAAAGACCCTTCCTGCCGTGAGCTCCGGAGGGGCCCCGACCTGCCGCCCCAGACGCCCCCGGGCCCTGAGAAGGATATGTGGCGGGGGTAGCGGCGGAGTGGGGACACCATCCTCCGGGGATCTCGCTGCACCCGTTCCACCAGCCCGTGGTGCCGAGTGCTCCGGGACGAGTCCGACGGTGAGTGGAGGGGGCTCTGCCAAAACACACAGGTGAGTCAACGCGGAAGCTGCCGAGCCAGGCTGGCCCGGGCCTGCGTCCACTCACCTGGAGCTCGGCCAGGCCGCAGCCAATCTGGTTCACGTCCGGCAGGGACCCGCCGTAGTGGCAGCTCCTCGTGTAGGCCAGTCGCAGTTTCTGGGCCTGCAGCTGAGACACGAGGGCAAATGGGCAGGTCAGGGAGGGGCCTGAGCACGCTCCTGCCCCTCTGGCCACCCCTGCCCCCCTCCGTCTCCGGGAGACGCTACTGTCGCTGCTGCTTCGAAGAGACCTGCCAGGAAAAGCTAAAAGGAAAACAAAACCCAGTGCTGGGGAAAAGGCCCGCTGAGACCCGGCACCAACGATCTGCCCAGCTCTGCTGTGGGCCGTCCCGTCGGAGAGGACACTATGCTGGCGTCACCCCGCCAGGCAGAGCCTGACCCTCTGTCCCAGTTGGCATCAGTGTAAACGGAGTCCCTGAGGGGCCACCGGAGCCCCCGGGCTGGTCACATGGGCTAACTCCTGAGAAGGAGTGCCCATTAGACACCTCCGCTTTCCCTTCCAGATGTGTCCGGGGCTAACTTGAAGACGAGGGGGAGGCCACGGTGGGTGCCACAGGGCCATCACTGCCAGCCTCTTCCCTTCCCACCCTGGAGGGCACAGGCTTATGCGCTCTGCCCCGTGCCCAGCCTCAGGAAGGCCACAGAGACTGCAGCTCCGAACCAGAACATCGAAGGAATGAAGGCTCTCATAGTTTAAAGGGGGGGCGGGGGGCCAAAACCAAGGCGCAGTATTCTCCTTAGTCCTGAGGCCCCTGAATGGGCAGAGAAGCCTGGAGAATAAGGCTGGGAGAAGGGACAGTGGCCCGCTCCAGTCTGGGCCAGAGCCCTCTCCCTAGCCTCATGCCCACTTTGGGGAGATAAGTCTGGCACTGCAGTGAGACACCACCTCCCTCAGCCTGGCACGATTTTAGTCTGTCTACACATCTCATGTCCCTCCATGAGAGGTGAGCACCCACTCCTGGGGCTCAGCCACTGTCCCCAGCAAGTAAACAGACCCAGGGCAGCAGATGAGGAGTAAACTCTAAGAGCTGCCGAGGACACGGTGTCATGCACAGGCCAACATCAGACCTGACTTTCTGTTCCAGGAGGCCAGCCCAGCGAGTTTAGTGGGCACCATGCTGACCTCCGGGCCACTTAGAGTTGTCATAATATACATGACAACCCCAGCCTAGCATGGCCATCCACATGCGCCTCAATTGAGCCCTCCCAGCTGGCCGAACAGGCTAAGCCCCAGGCCTTTCAACTCTTGGGTCCCCAGCCCCTGGCCAAGTGTGCCCACTAGACTTTAACGTGCAGCAGAGAAGTCACCTGCAGAGGCAAGAGTGGTGGTGGGGGGGGGGGCGGGTCTTCTGACAGACGGAGGCACTACAGAGACAGAAGGCTCGGCTCCCAGTTTCTCAAAGCCCTTCTCTGCCCACGCGAGCCCTAAGACCCCACCAGCCTCTGCTGGAGCTGCAGTCCTAAGGGCAGGGCCTCGAACTGTCACCTGGAGATCAGCCTCTTGCCACCTTCTTGCCTCTGCCCCTCCCATGATCAAAAGCTCCTGCAGGGGAGCAGTCAACGGTTGGATCCTCACGGTACTGGGGGTCAGGCGCACACACACACACGCACGCGCGCGTGCACACACACGCGACTTGCTTCCCCACCTAATTCTCTGCTCTTACTCCCACAGACTAGGACACACCGTCTCTAGAGACTCAAAGGGGAAATAAACACAAAAAAGACTCAACTGAGTCACGAGAGACGCACGCAAAAAATACAATCTGAGTCCATATAACCAGAGTCCCAGCCACAGACTCTGTGGCTGCCAGTCAAACCAGGAGAAAGCTTTGAAACGTGCGGTTTACGTTCCACCGTCTCCCGTTAAATGCCTTCTAGCTCTCAGCCATGGGGGATCCCTACAATATCCTAACCTGCTGTTCTGAGAACAGTGCTTCCCTAACTTAGGGCCCCATACTAGCTGGGCGAACTCCCAGCCCTCGGACATTCAGTCCTGGGAGTAAGCAACCAAGCCAGTGGGGCTTCAGACGCCACTCTGCCAAGGTGCCTT